GACCATGTAGAACGCACCTAGTCCGAAGTCGTCTGCCATAGTAGTTGTCATGATTCCCAGCATCTGACCTGAAAACAAGACCAAGTTGCGACAACGAGGTCAACCCACTTCTATCAATCGAAAGGAGACTGCGACCATAACAGACGCCATAACATCTTGGTCTTTATACATAAATAATTATAAATAGATACGAAGAAAAACTGGGTTTCAGAGGTTAAGCATCTTGGTCTTCATATATTCAATTTATTGAATTGTTTTGGCCCCGATTTCCAAACTTGGTCGTGTTGTCAGAACGATCTTGAATCATAAGCTCTGCTGATAACCTGCATAATGGGTCTGTTGGCATCGCCAGTAAGCCTTACTATTCTTAACACGAAGATACAACTCATAAAAAACTTGATCATATTGGAATGATCATAAAAACTATGTCAGAGGACGTCTTTAAAAGAGGACCCTGTTTGGACAGCGAGGTCAAACCAAGACTATAAACTGAAGGGAGACTGCGACCAAAATAGAGGCCACACCATCTTGATCTTCGCATCTGCACTTAAACTGGGTAGCCTTTTCTGAATAATAATCCGACTTTTCTTTGCTCGTTTGGGTGATGCAGGGCTTAAAGTTGGATCTTAAAAAATGAAACAACTTATTTGAGATTATACTCAAAATTTACACTTAGTTCGAAAATATTACTCACAACGTGTGTGTTAACGTCGTCAGATGTGATGAAAGATACAAGTTTGACCATTGTACAAAATAAAAAGCTGAACTGGCACAGTTTTTGCTTGTCTTGAAAGCCACCTCTGCCTACTGGGTCTCAAGACATGGTGGTCACTTGTTGCCACTTGGTGTGTACGATTCGGCGTATACTCCCGATATGGAAGCTAATTAGACGATGAGCTGAGGTGAAAACTGCAGTCACCATGGATCAGAACTTTGCTTGCCTCATGAGACCTTCTACTTATCACATTAAACCACTCAATGTGTCTCTAGTTCTTATTCAGGATCCATCAATAGTTTCGGAATCTTCTATAGTCTAGCCTGCATTTGTCACATATGAACCCCACTAAAGGCACCACATGTTTGCCACATTGAATCTGCAGCCTGTTTCTTCTTCACTCCCCAAAACCTTTACAATATACCTTAGCCATTATCTGAACTCTTATATTTTCCATTAACCTGCTATTCTGATGTCTCTGGTACTCCCTGCTTCAAAAGTTGTTCATCTTTTTCTGGAGTATTTTCAGTCCTTATTAATCTGCATCTTGTGATTAAATTATGCCATTATTTGTGATTATCATTCATTTAGCGAACCATCATTTCTTCCCCTCTATGCTTCTTGTTTGACGGTCCATACTGCTGCTATGCTTCCAAACTTGTAAGATAGTGGAGATTTGGTTTAGCAACTGTAAAAGTGAAAGTCCGCTTTCGATGGGTTGGTTCATCTCGGAATAGGGCTTGGCTTCGCGACTTTACAAAAATATAAGTAGTTTTCGAGACTATCAGTACGTGTACTGAAAATAAATAACACTGCCGACATCAATGGCTGATACATGTTTGACTAATCGACTCTCCAACTATATAATATGTGATACATGAGAATGTATCAAGTCCACTGTCAGATGCTGGGAATCATGACAACTACTATGGCAGACGACT